TTCCTAAACGACTTCAAAGGAAGAGTAGATCATGAATAATGAAAGAAACAACAACCTAAAGATTTAAGAACATAGAGATTCGACATATCAAAACCACGGTGAAAATATAGTACTTTGTAGCCGCTACTACGAGAGATGTAAGTTCTCAGAGAAATTTCAATATTCTCACGGTGTATTTAATATAGATTGAATAAACAGTTTTTCAATGCTGTTTTCTTTATAGTTGATGATATCTTGTAATATTAATTTTCATATTTGATTAATTTCGAAAAATAATTTTTTTTGCTTATATATACATTCTACAAAGCAAAAGTTACATTAACTTGACATTAAATTTTTAACATTTTTTATAGCTTTCTAGATAGATAGAGAAAGAAAGAAAGAAAGAGAGAGAGAGAGAGAGAGAGAGAGAGAGAGAGAGAGAGAGAGAGTTTTAGAGATTGAAAGCATATATGGGATTAAACTTAATGCACTACTATTAACAAATTTCTTATCGAAACGTTGACCATAACTATGCGCCTTTCATGCTTGCATAGATTAAATTAGTTTGAGCTTATAAATAATTAACCGAATAACTGAAGCAACTCGGGGGAAAATAATCATATTAAAGCATTATATACAAATCTATAGTTTTATTTGTTCATAGATGCATCGCTAGCAAATTTACTATTTTAAGTATCGAAAATGTAATGAGCTTATTCTACAGTTAACAGTTTTATGGATAAAAAAATTTGTAACAGACATATCACGAATAAAATTAAGCATTGTAATCTTAATTGCTTCTGTGCGAATTTGAAATAAGATTGCATTTTAATATTTATGGAATTTCTGCTGTATCTATTATCAAGGAATGTGACTCTGGTATTTCAATTCCTTAGAAAGAATTGGAATGTTAAACTAAGTATAACAATAAATAGAGATTTCAAGCAAAACTATTTACTAAAAATAATTATTGTTGCAAATTGATTTTAATTGATTTTAATTTATTCAAATTCACGTGACAAATGAAGCTAAATCTTCTAAATCAGTGTTGGTATACAAGTCTTAATGTACGATTGTCTCTAAAATAATCGGCTTAATTGTAAGATGTGTTTAAAATTCCATGAGACATAGTTAGCTTTGCAGACAATTCGTTAATGATACAATTCTGCGAGTAAATTTATATTAAAATCGATGTGCAAAAGACTTGAGCGCGAAACATTATTTGCATTTACATGAACGGCGTGTATTTTTATACAAAATCACGGCATCCTCGTCGAGTATATTTGAAGAAATATTGTAAATTCATTACGTTGCATCTGTAATGTCGACGTTTGAACATTATGTTTTCAATCGAAAAAATTTCAACACATACAATTGATATATTGAATTATTACACACGCACAATTATTTTATATATATATATAATAAATAATTGCAAAATTGTTTTATTAATCTACACCGATTTTTAATCGCAACATTGCATTTTAATTTTATGATAGCAATTAAGGATAAATAAATCAATTTATAAATGTTTGTGCAACAATACATTAAATCTTTTATTAAATTAAGTTGATTAAAACCATACTCGCAGATGAGTTAATTAATCAAATAAAAGATTGTCTTTAATACAAATTAATCAGTTTCTTTTCTAATCTATTCGCTAAATCATCGAATTATTTCTCAGTAAGTCTTACAGATCAAATGTATTATATTGATATTAAATATTATCACAACATCTTATTAACTTTAAAAGGAAAAACTATAAAAGGAAAGATTGTTTGTAATAGGATTTATATAGAATTTGATTAAATGAAATTAATAGAAAACGGGTAGAGAGATGGTACCTATGTTATGAATGGAATGTTACTAAGTGCAATTATCCTGCCAATAAGGCTCTTCAATCGATTTCGGTGATAAGTAGTAAAAGGCGGTGCAGGTTTGTTCTAAAAAGTTATTGATAGTTAATTCGAGTACTTTACTAATAACCAATAGTTTTAATTGCGCGAAGTCCTATGGTTGCTGAAAGTTTTAATACACATTACATATATATTGACAAATATAGAATTTTTAAACAATATATTATTGTCAAATGAAATTATTTCATCACAAAGAATACTCAATAATATTATGCAATAATTATTTACTGGTTATTAAGATCAGATATTTAACAATTCATTTTTTGAGTAAAAAAAAAATATTTATGTGTATAGTGACCTAATTTTTAGAAATACTTATAAAAGAAGCTTAATAAACAAGATATTTGATTTCCGTGCCAACTTTTCGCGGAATACTCAAAGTTTTGCGGCTACTGTAGTGGCCCACTGCCATTTGATTAGAAAATACATATATTAAAGAGCAAACCGATAGTCTCGTATTCACATACATTGGAAATGCATTACCTTTATTGTCGCTTGTTTTGAATGAGCACTCTTTAGACGATGAGATAAATAATAGTAGTTATACAATATCTAAGCAGATGTTGTAACATGGCAGATAAAATAAATCTATATTATAAATAAAAATAATAGTTTATGAATGTGTATGTGACACACAATATACATATTTATCTTAAAAACATAATAAGATTTATCATTAGTTGAATCAAAAGGATGATAAAACAAACGATATTAGAAAGAAATCCAATGAGAGACAGAGGGAGGGGGGGGGGGGGGAGAACAAAGAATGAAAGAGAAAGAGAGAGAAAGAAAGAGAGGGAGAGAGAGAGAAAGAAGAAAAAAGAACATAGATAAATGAAGATAAGTTACAATAAAAGGAACCGGTTAGTATAATTAAATAATTGCGACAAAGGAAGGATTTGTGTCCACTCAAATATATACTATCTTTGTGGTAGTAGAAATATTAACTTGAATAAAGACATTATTATAAAAGAGATATGTGTGAAATAAAAAGCTTTACTGTTTGTTAAAATGCTTTATTAATTCTTTATTTGGCCCATTATGAATCATTATCAATACGGATTATATTGATCTTTTCTAAATGATTCATGAATTGCTAATAACATTTTTCTTCATACATCATCATGAATAAAATCGAAGAGACGAAAGCTATTTCATATCATTTAAGTTGAAATAGATAAATGCGCTTTTATATTTAAAAAAATTTGTAGTTATTCATATTTAAGGTCTAATTTGTTATATAGATTATTTATATAATGATATGTTTAAAATCAATAAATCTAATTGTAAAAGGAAAAGGCCAATATGATATGTTTAAAAGTAATAAGAATATATAAAAAATACGGGCATGTCATTGCATAAAAGTTCAATAATATGAATTATTTTATAATGGTGTATTATAATTATAAAATATGTTCTTAATAATTGTGATAGAGAGAGAAGTATTTTTGTATTGTGCATACAGTGTTTTATCAAATTTTGAACATAATATTTTATTTTCAGACTATTAAATGAATAAGACAAAAAGCAGAAAGTAAGATAGGCACACAAGCATTACTTGAGAGAAAAAAAGTTTATAATAATTCTGATTTTACCTTATAATAAAATAATTAAAGTCGAAAGAAATTAATTGGACAATCAAAGAACTAAACCTTTAAAATACTGCCAGAAGTAGCAATACATATATCGTATATGTACTAAATATCGGTACATAAAGTTAGAAGTGTACGTTAAAATTACAGGAAAAGAAATATAACTAAAAGCGAAATCCTAAAATTTCATATAAGCGATTCGTATAACACATCAAGAAGTAGCAATAAGATATATAATCTTATAAGTGCTAGAACATCTTTGCGGAACTTTAAATTAAATAAATATATATATATATATATATATTTGAAAGATTTTTTCTCTCTATATAACATTACTAGTAAAGTAGCTGTGGTTATGGTAGTGTTATGAAAAAAACTATCATTATAATTATTGTTTTTTTAGATCATCAGATTTAAAGTAGGATACGCATCATCATTATTCAAAAGATAATCATTATTTAATTATAATTTTTATATTAATAATAGAATCTCAAATATATTTTACATTTGATTATTTATAGTACTGCAGTAAAATGATTAAATAAAAGAAATTGACTATTTATAATACTGTAGGAAAATTGCAAATTTATTTATATCGCATGGTTATATTTTTTTATATTTTTTAAACAATTTTTACGTTTTCTATCACTGAAATTCTGAACATAACGTAATGTATAACGCAATTAAATGATGAACTGAATTAATTAATGATTAATTAGATAATGAGTTTTATAATTATACAACAAACGTTTCACACGAGTATTATAATGAAGAATACAATCATGACTGTACATTTTGATTTCCATTTTAATTAACTGTTTATTATTTTACGCATCTATTAACTTTTGAAGAGAAAATTTAAGATTTAATCGATCGCTATGATTGTAATTAAAATTTGCAATGCATCGTAATATACATATGTTTACATAATAATTTATACATTGTACTTCTGTATTGATATTGAATATTACCTAATTATATTGAATTGAAAACATTTAGTATCAATCTAAGATTTAAATAAAAAAAATATTTTCTTTTATTTTTTTCTATCAAATAAAATAATGCGTTCTCATATTATGAAGAGTATCAACTATATATGATATGTATAAATACACACACACAATATATATTACTTTTATATATTAAGTGAAGTATATCTATATATATGAAAATATATGATATAAAATATAACTTTATTATAATAATTTTTTATAATTTTATAAGAAAAAGAACTTGTGTAAAGTTTTATGTAATATTAAGATAATTATGTGCGAAAGTTGGTAAAAATATGGGAACATCTGAGAATTTTATTTTTACTGACTTACATCATTATTTTTCGTTCAATAGTTTTTTATATTCCTTCAAAGTTAATAGTTAAGAACTGAGACTTAATCGAGAAAAAGTCGTTAATGAGATTTGGATTTTTTTGTTACACTGACTTTTAAAAAAACTTGTAGATGCTTCTTCTTATGTCAAGTTTTTCAGAGAAAGAGAGTCTCCGGTCGGATGATATAATTTATGAATCTGCAGCATGCGACAGAAATCAACAAGCAGTGAGTTTATTATTGCAAACGTAATTTCCATCGTATCTATACTGAATCATTGACATAGCGTAATCATGTTATATTCATATATGAAAACCTTGTTCGCTTTTCATAAATATGTTTCGAAATATTTCATGAATTTTAATGTTAAATTTTATTTCTAGCTAAATAATGTATGTTTATTGCTCTGCCAGGTGTGCAATTAAAATAACTTATGTAATCCTTATGTGTTGAGCATTAATATGAAATTATAGCATGCTCTCTCTCTCTCTCTCTCTCTGTCTGCGGAAAGCTAAAAAACTATATTTAACTGTTTTATTCATTAACAGTCATGTTTCAATCAATTTTACACATACTTATAAGTATGCATATATCAGTTATGTGAGCGCTGTATTCAATATTCTCTTAACACATAATTTTCACCGTAACTTTGAAAAGCAGATGCAAATTAGATAAGTTTGAGGTAATACGTGCGCGTCGAGTTTCGCCGCGTCGTATTGTAGTATTATGTAGAAATCGTTTCTCTGATGGTTACATCATTTAGTGACTGTGAATTAACGCGTTGTGCGTGACAATTGCTTTTGTCGATAGCGAGTTTAGTAGAGAGAAGAGTTCACGAAGTTATATCACATGAATGGATTTATGAACATATGTCATCTATAGTGACTTGCACTAAATATTCTATGATTTATTCTTTAAAATAAAATTTTAAAATATGTATTATGATTTTTTGTGCAGGATGATAATATATAGCATATATACAACCAAATTGATATACACAAACAGCTATCTTTTCTAAATAGAAATTTGACAGTATACTAGGCTATATATTCTATCTTATTCTACTGTTTTGTGTACTATTTTTCTTTATTTACTCTTAATAGTTGTTATCTAACTCGTATATATTTCTATTCTGTTATACTTGTCGAGAACACATTGATCTATGTACAATAAGACCGAATCACACATTAGATTTGATTATTTCGATAATACTTCAAATATTTAAAGTAGATCAATTTTATTTAAAAAGTGAAAATCTGATAAATGATATATATTTCTTCAACTTTCGTAATAGCTTGCACACCATATTTTATCTTATTCTACCCGTATTGCGGGTTGATAAGATAGATAATATGAGAGAGATGACACACCTAAAAAAGATTATATCAGATATAGGAGGTAAAGAAAATTGCGAAATACGTGTTCTCTGTATAATAAAAAGATTTTTGAAGGGAAAAATCTAAGAACGCAGATTTAATCAATATGAAAATCAGGTATCAACATGAGACTTTATATTTTTTTGTTAGTATAAAACAACAAGGAAGCAAAAAAAGGAAACAATGAGATTCTTCTTTTAACTTTGAACTAACTACCTAAACTTATTCTCATTGTCATTAGCAATATTTGTGTAATATTAAATTTTAAATATGTATAGAATATAAAAAAAAAAAAAATTAATGATAAATTTTTTATCTCATTATTTTTATATATAAAATAGTTTTAAAAATTTCTTATCTTTGCAATCGATAATCAATGTAAGTTCCTTACATATTCGCGCAATAATTTCAAAACTTTTTTATATTATTTCATCTATAAATTATGAAACTCTCTGATATCGATGCGGCTGATATCGAACTGCGGCTGGTACTTTATTTATGTCGTGCCTCTACAGTTGCTTTCATTTAAAATATACTTTTTTTTTTCGTTTTAGAATTATTCCTCTGAATTGTAATTTCGAAATTTCCCGGATTAAAATAGGTCCAACATCATAAAATGAAAGGACATTATGAGTATTATACCGAAATGATATTCTCATATGAGAATAGTATTAGAACTTATATTTTGAAAGCAGTGATTACAAATTTCTATACTTACTCTTTCTGCATAAAAAATGTATTTCTAACACACATATAGTTTTATATGACTAATATATACAGAAATATGCAGTAAATTATTTGAAATTTTATATATTTCTTATTTATCTATATATATGCATTTCAGTTTCTTATTATTGTACAATATGCGAATTGTGCGTCCATAATTTCATTATTTTTATTCGCACAAGAAATGTCAATAAGAGCAATGAGGATTAAATCAATAAAAGAGTGTTTACGTATACGTATACTATGCCGAATTTTCGCAGAATTAATTAAAAATTTTACCGAGAAAATTAGAGAATCATCGATCTCGATGTTTGACTGTTTTGACTCTGCTCAAAATATAGAAAGCGCTTTAACTTTTGCACGCTTAATTGCTCAAAATTTAAATTGAGTATACGTAATAGTTTAGCAGACTTTTGTTTATTTGGACGCGTTTGCATTGTGGAATATCACACTAAAATGTCAATAAAAAACAAGCGTCAATAAAAATATCACTTTAGTAAAAATACATCAAGAATAATTGCTTGTAATTGTGAATTATAAAGAGTTGTTTGATTAACAAAGTTATTGCTTTACTGCATTTAAAATGCATGTTACTAATTTTGCAAATTTTCCTGATATACATTTATACGTATTTAGGGACAATGTGTGACAACAATTGCGATTATATAATCATGTATTTGCCGCGGTAAAATAGGAATTTCAGAGAGTTAATTGCAACTACTGACAGCTGTTATAATATACAAACGTGTGTTGTAATTTGTCGCATTTTTACGGAGATATTACATGCACGGTGTTACTAATTATATTCGATAATTAAAAACCTGTGGCTTTTGGATGAAAAAAGTTCTTGAACAAAAAATGAAAATTTCTTGAATACAAAATCTAATAGAATTTATCTTTATTATACAAGAAATTTATCTATATTATACAAGAAATATTAATAAATAACTGTCATTATAATCTTTGCAATTTGATATAAATATTTGTTAACTAGATAAGACAATGTATAATATCGGGTCTTGATGTAATAGTTGTGTAAATTTTATCACTTGAAGAAAAATGTATGGAAATTGCATACAAAGTATGTAATAATCGCTTCACTGTTGAATGCAAGATCACCGTCCTTGCACGTTTCTGTGCTTTATTCATGTCATAATGGGATATGTAGAACTTGTGTAGTAAAATATACATACGTACTCTGCATACAGGATACTCATTATCGGTATTTTGTTTCTCTAGAGAACGTAAAATGCTCAAAAGTTTGCTTTTTATGATAAAGATTGATTCATGTATTATTATCAAGGATTAAATAGATTATCATCGATTAATCGGGTCAAATTTTAATTAATATACAAATGCACACGTTTGATGTATTATCTTTCTTTAATTAAACACTGTTACATGTTTTGGAAATAGAGCTATATTATTCATATAATATTTTTTATTTTATATTGGTCGGAAAATTGAATGCTATAAACAATATAAAAGCTTAATCTCGATTAATTATATGTATTTATATAGAATATTTATAAACATCGAGCTATATCTCTTTTTGTATCTCTTTTCTTTGATAGTTTCTTGAATTAAGAACTTGTTTTTTCAACAAAAATATCTATAGCTTTTTAGGTCTTTTTTACACTATTCTAAATTACTTAAAAGAACATCAAAATCTTACTATAAAAATATCATGTTCTAAACTTATCACAGAATACATATGGAATGTTAAGAATAATGATTAATTATTTCTTTATGTTAAATTATCTGTTGAGTGAAAAAGATTCTATGACATTAGACTATATTATTCCGAATTAATATTATTATTCCGGAATATTATTATTCTGGATTATTCTGGTTTTGATTCTTTGCTTTTTTTTGCGGATCGAGAAAATTTGATGGTATAGGAAGTGTTTAATAAATTTCATTGCGGTATTGAAATATTGACAAAGACTTAAAGCTATTTAATTGATCGATATTTTTGCATAATGGTAGAACCTTTTATATCGTAATAACAATATCAATTTCTCTCTTGAATTCAAATAATATAAATTGCAGTATATCTCTTTTATTTTATTAAATAACATTCAATAAATATTGTTTTTAAAATATAGAAGGAAGATTTTTTTTTAGGGAAATAGGAAATAATATTTATTTTTAATTGTACATATAAAGTTTCTATTTTTTTATAAATTAAATTTTTGTTTATATATTTGAAAATAGTAGAGCAAAACAATGTCTGCATAACTGAATTGGCAGATTTATTATTTCCGATCTGTGAAGAATTAAGTAAAATAGGTTAAAATATAGCTGATTAGAATAGTACAATCTCTCCAGATAATTAGATTTTATATTATAGGTTTTCTTTAAAAAAATATTGTGTTTATCATTGGTGGTATATCGTAACATAATATTAAGTCTTATATTACATGCTCTTATATCGTACGGTTTATCGTGGTTGTAGAGAATTAAGAACCTTTATCATATCAATAATGATAAGATATCTTGTGCTAAGCACAAATGAGAGCTTATTGTAACTATTTATAGGCGGATAAATTTTCCACGTTATTACACTACGTAAAAAAAAAAATTTTTCAGCTACTACTTTGAATATATGCGTAACAACCGGCAAAATAGTAGCTTTTGTAAAATGTGATACGTACGTTTCTTAATCAACTAGAATTGCGCTCTTTGTCATCGGCATTACTAGCAACCGTTACAAAGTGAGTAACGTTCGTTGAAATGCACCAGATGCTATGGCAAAGGATAGAGTGACAAAGAATAGGACATATAAATGCTTTTGGCTCTCACACCATAGGCAATCGTTTTATCTATTAGGCACTATATATTTAGTGCCTAAGGCTAACAAAGTGCTTGGAATTTGAAAGGAATGTATTAAAGTTGAGAAATAAAAATCCGAATTAAAAATTGTTATATAAGAATTGATAAAATTATAATTACCTGAGAACACAATAAGTTTCTTCTTGCTCTTAAAAACAAAATAAAAAAATTATTTTCAACAACAAAAATGTAAATTATATATTTTATTTTTTAATATATATATTTGATGTTGATACAGTGAGATCTTCAAAAGCTAAACTATAAGGTTTATAAACGGATCTATTTGAATTC